CATTTAAGTCAAAGATCAATGGGATGGTTCAACGGCATTTATAAATTATTACCTACAGTTGATATTTCCAGGGAAAGCAGTTCCAAAGAGAAACCTTAAATTAAAGAAGAAGTGTATATTTCATATATATTGCAAATTTTCACTTACAAAGTAAGAAATATCAATAAGCAACTGGACATCTAAGGTAAATGCAACAATACATACTTTACAGAAATTTTGCATGAAAGAGGGAAAGCTTTTCAACCAAAGCAAAAGAAATAATACTTGGTTAAATATTTAATCTAGTTCCACAATTATAACAAACTTTCAGCTGTGTCATGCATTTGGAGGCTTAAAACTAAATGCATGGATCCGCTTGTTAAAGGAAATTCTGTTATATAAAGGTACAGAGTCTTTGCAAAGAATAGGGAAAATGAAATACAGGTTTTAAGACTTTCCTGCAGAGACAGTGAGATAGGATATGTCAATATTTACTGTTCTCACTAAGTCACTACAAAATGTTTGGTTTTGTCTCTGAAAGTAATTTGCACAGTGGAGTTTTGCTGACAATGATGAGACAGCAAGCACCTGCTTCTGTGCTAAGCCAGCCGAACATGGGCCTGCCTTGAACGCTCCAGGTCTGGCCTAGTGCAATTAACTCAAGAAAACTTTTTAAAGCTGAAAGGTATTCTAAAGGGAGGTGGGAACAGAAGACACCTATATCATAGCTAGGACATCTTACCCACATATTTACTACTCTTACAAAACCCTAGCACTGATAAAATGTTTCAAAGTAAGATACCTGCTGCCCAGTCATCTCCAAAATAGATCTTTCCACTCCTCACTCATTCTGGAAAGCAAAGTCTATGGCCTTTCCAGAACCCATCACACGTGTGTTCCTCAGCTGGTCTAAGGTTGGGAATCTGCCACCCAAACTCCCTGGAGCAGAGTGGGCAGCCAAGCAAAACACTGTTCTGAATCGTGCTGCAGTCACTGCCTGGGGAAGGTGCTGGAGGGATGTCAGAGAGGACACAACACCCAGCATATGCACCCAAAGGGAAGCAGCAGCTTGGGAAACAGCAACAGCAAAAGAGAGATCTGGCACAGGAAGCCTGGCACTGCGGCTTAGACCTAAGCATCCCGTAGCCCCAACCAGGAGAGCAGTTCGTGTCGCACTGGCTGCAGTGCAGTGTTTACACTCCAGAACATACTGAAAAGTATTTCTAAATGTGCTACAATTTGGTCACTGCCACAGAGGACATGCAAATATTCATCTTGCAAAGTGCAGGTGCTATCCTACGAAGGCATAGGTTCCTTTTAACACTATTAACGAGATTTTAAAATGGAAAGGACTTACCACTTGAGATTTCAGACCCTAAGCCTTTCTGCAAGGCAGGCAGATGTTTCTCCCTCAAGCTTCCGTATCCAATAAGCCCTCAGAGGACAGGCGAATTCAGCCTGTTGTGTCAGTGGTGCTCTGCTGACGGGGCTGCAGGTGTGAGACAAGTGCTGCAACAAGTGCCAAAAGCAACTATGAGCCAAAAACCGAAGCCAGAAAGTTCTGTGGCTACCTTCTGTCCTCCTTGGACATCTCAGCATCTCTGTCTTCCAGACTGATGCTCACACTGTCCTCTGCCTGCCCTCAAGCCATTCTCTCTTTGGTCTGATCTACTCTAGAGCTGGCAGAGAACTTTCTTCTTCTCTTGTTGCATGTTAATTCTGACAACAATAAATAATCTGTCTCACCACTTCTATATGAAAAAGAACTAGTCTCCTGGAGGAAAGTTTTATCTGTTAATATTACAAAGCTCTACATACCTCACCAGACGCGAAATGGGCTTTTCTAGAGCTCGAAATAAGTTCTGTGTACCTTTTGCCCCTGCCCTTACTGGATGTGCAGCACCATGTTTGTAAGTCTCCACACAATCTCTATTCCTATATTCTGGGGAAGAATATCAGTGCTCACAAACGCAGAGTAACTACTGACAATTCAAAAACTGTACAGTGCATTAACATCATGCTACTCATATTTTTTTTATTTCATGGTACCTGGGAGTACCAGCCCATAAGAAAGGACATCTGGCTCCTATCTGTGAAAATGGTGGTTTGTGGGTTACGATTTGTATGTACCAGTGGGATATTGGAAGGAAGCAATTCAGCACTTAAGCATGTTTCATCATTTTCATGTATGGCAGGGGAAATACATACAGTTATATTTGGACAAAGAGATCAGGAAGATTATTTTTAAACTGAAACATTTGATGTTTTTACAGCATTTACACAGTCCCTCTCCTCTTAAGCCACTGTTTTCCTTTTTAAAATCAGCATTAGATTTTGTTTCCTGTGTGAAACCTGGCTTATGTCTGACTAATTTAAGCGAAGATAAATGTGTCAGGAAGCTGTTTTGAACACAGCACCTCAGCTGCAGAATAGAACTTCTCTGAGTAATTGAAATGAAAGTTGGTATCAGTAAAAATAGTTGCACAATTCAGTTGTGACGGGAAAATTACTACTGAGATTGGCAACTTGATTCAATTGCTTCTATTATTTTCTATTTTATTAGGTAGGATAATAAATACTTCATAAGAATAGCAGAGCAACCTTTATTTCATTCCATATTGTGGATATCAAACAATACTGCTAGCAAAAGATTGCCTTTAGGGCAGGAAAATGTTTTATTCTCCGCTTCTGTTCATTCAAGTCTCTTTCTGCTGGTTCTGCCAACAAGGATGTCAATTAGTGTCAAGTAACGTTTTGCTATTGCTGATGACATACAAAACAAAGGCATCACAGTATGATGAAATGAATTTACTGTACTAAGAGATAGAAAAATACCTTTTTTTTTGTAATTGAACCTAGAATTTAGTGAGATGGAGTGAAAAAAGAGAATACTACCCTTGCTGTTTTACAGTTTATAACCCCAGTTCTGTACTGGTAGTTCTCCCTTCACGCTCCTTTCTCATAGGAAGCCAGCACTATGCAAAATTTCAACATGCACAGTTGTTAAGTACTGCTAGTACTTCCATCAGCATTCCTAATGTTATCTAGACAAATTGCTTCTGTGAAATCCAGAGGAGAACGAAATCTCCTGTTCAGGATGTGCACAAAGCATGCCTGCTTGTAAAGATAAATCTCAAGAACATCATTCAGTTTAATTTACTTTCAGCTTCCCCATCAGGTCTGTGTGAAGTCCCCACGAAGTTACTCTGGCCTCAATTAAAGCTGAGTGAGGAAGATGATGGTACCTTGGAATAAGAAGGCCCCTTCCTCCGCAATCAACCAACTCCCAGTGCCTCGTCTGCAGTCACTTTCTGAGTTTCAAATCTAACAGGGTGCTTTGCATGTGCTCTTGACTGCTACAAGAGGATGAGCAGGAGAGAAATCTGGCCAGAGCGATTCATAAAGGTGAGCAGGGCCAGCATCACTCAGGAATCCCCCCAGAAAAACGGCTTGATGGGGCAAAATCATTTCCCTGCCAAGGTGCACTGCTGAGCATTTGCTGTTAGTTAATGGAACAACAGTTGATGGGTACTACAAGCTGCATTCGGACTTTCTTAGCTCTGGAAATATTTCAGTAGCAAAGTAAATCCAACCTTGCACCAAATGTCATGTCCTGGCTTTATTTCCTCTACAAAAACATTAATAGTGTAAATCCCACTTCTGACTTTTTTTTTCTTTCCTTCTTTTTAAGGAAAGTTTACTCATATACAAAATACAGAAAATACTGGGTTAAAATAGGAATGAAATCATTGCTGCTCTAAAGAGGAGGGGTAGCATACCTTCCATGTCTGTCAAGCTCCAAGCAGTTGGCACCCTATAAATCATAGGAAGCACAGGGGTAATTATAGAACTGGAAGCTGATTACTGTAAACATTCAGAAGTAGCTCCTAGTAATTGGGAGCTAAAGATAACAGCGTGATTACAACCACAAAGGAACTGTTCAGGTCATTTATACACCCATTTTCTCCATTCTTTAAAATGAGATTTTCTCACAAAGCAACAAGCAATCTAGTCAATCTAGCATCTTGTATGTTAACAACCTGTTACTATCATCAATTGTTTGTTCTCTGTCAGAATTAGTGTTGATGTGACAACATTTGGATCACCAGGCTCTCATTACTTTCGCGTTTTGCATTAAGCAGTATAACTAACAGCTTCTGCCAGCTTGTTCTGTTATCTCCTGGCACCTTTTCATCAGTCCTAGGGGCCCTGCAATGTGTTTATGGTGGAAAATGCCTGGTCAAAGAAGGGCAACTTGCACCGAGGGTAGATGATGACAACATGTAACATGGGGTTTACTGCCAGGGGTGTTCATTTCCTTGCCCTCAGGGCAGTAGAGAGAGAATACTCTGTCTCCCCCACTCTTAACAGAGGGAGCTCCTTGGTGAAGATGCATCTGTCAGCTACACTGTGCTGGACCATGAAGAAATATCCGATTCCTGCCTCAAAGAAGTTACAGCACCAGGCCATACCCAATAACGCTTCAGCTAAAAGGGATACCCTCTTTATTGCCCAAACATACCAGAACAACTCTGCAAGATGACCAAGAGGAAAACCTGCTTTTCTGGTATCAGATTGTAGTCTGCTCCCGTGCTCAAGTCAGAAGACATACAGAACCTGTCATTCTTATTCTACATGGAGAATTTAGCTTATTCATGGCTCTAATCCGTACTTGATCCTTACAAAACTATCTACCTTAATTATACGTGTCACTGATAATAAGAACTACAAGTTAATTACCACAAGTGTAGGAGTGTTGATGCTCATACACATCCTTATGTTGTTATTATACAACCCCAAATTCTAGCTGTATTCTTCATTTGAGGCAGAATTTTCAGAATTAACACAACAAGCTTTTGAAAAAGCCACCCTTTTATTTAATAAGTTACCTCGACTCCAATCTCAAATTGTTCAGAACTTGGACATACTATGACCAAGAAGACAATAGCCCCTCCGTATGATCTGACCTCAAGAAAATTCTATAAAAGGTGTATCTTGCTACCTGGCAGTACACGACTCACCGTGCTGTATAATCCCGTGCTCCAAAAGCCTGCGGCCGAGCTGCTCCGCTTCAGCCCGTGTTGTGGCCTCTCCTTCCTGGATCAGCCACTCAATGAACTCTGATGCCACAAAGGTCCGTTCGTACTTGACTCCTTCCTCTTCCCTGGCTTGCAAAAGGGTATTTTCAGAGCTCATCAGCCTGGTATAGGGAGAAAAAAATTGGTAGGGAAAATGGTTCTTCAAAACAGCAACTCTGTATCTGTTCTAGCAAATCTCACTGACACTAAGAAAACATATGTGAACCATTCACTGGCTTACTATATCTTTCCTCAAGTTATCAGTCTAAATTTAGGATTTAAATTATAACTGCTTAGTCAAAAAAAAAAAAAATGAGGCTCTCTATCCCTACATGAAGTTAACGTCTTTTTGTTACTTTTTCATAGAGGAAAACAAGGTTTTCAGTTTCCTATTTCCCCTATTTAGTTCTTCAGCTTCTCTACAAGTTACTGTATATTCAACTTTGAAATAAAATTAGCCCAAAAGCACCAATTTGTGACTAATGTGTTCAAAAATTCCAAATTATTTTTTTACAGTTAGCAGGACTATACCCTGAAGTAATTTAGATGGTTTTGAAAATTCTCCCCATAAGCTCCGTAACTGCTGCAGGAAAATTCAAGAAGAAGAAAAAAGGTAGTTCTGTGGTTTGGATGGTTAATAAATATTTAGCATCCAACACTCAGTGATGCAACTACAATCCAGGAAGTTACACACCTGAACGCATTTTGACATCAGAGTCTCAGAGTATCTGTGCCTCAGTCTGCTCTGTGTAACACCAAAGTTCAGAGGAACATCGTGAGGTGTCTCTAAATTTCCTAGCAATTGGCATGTACCTAGTTTAAATACGCTAAAGTTCTTCTCTGTTCAAGTAACCTACACAAATGACATAGTTAAAAAAAAAAAAATCCTCTATTTTGCTAATGCAAAAGTAAAACTGACAGTTTGAAAGAGAAGACAGGTTGAAAGAAAAAATGATAAATCACTCCCTTTCAATACAGAATCCCTCTTTTTTGTTATTGGGAGACCAAATGACATAGCCTTCTTAATTATTATTATTTTTTCAGAATTGTTTATTTATTATAGACTAATAACAGGACCAGTGGTAGGACTTTCAGAATAACAGCTCAAGAACAGCATGGTTATTTTTTCCATGTAATACTAATAATTCCCCTCTGTTCACCAACTATTTTGAAATTAAAGGCACAACTGAACTGTGACATGAATATTCTGGAGGTGCTTATTCTTCATCCTTTTAATCAGAAATTTGAATTTTATGTAAATCCATACATGAGCTATCTCTTTCTCGAACTGCCAATATGTCTAGAGTTCAGGGAATATAATATCAACTCCTTTGAGAGGTATCAGAAAAATCTATGCCATAAGAACACAGAGAAAATTTTCATTCAGAATTACAATGAGGAGGTTTGACAGGACCCAGCCTTTGTGATTTCAACTCAAAGACTTTTCCTGTGATGTTAACAAGAGCTAACCAGAAGCCTGAACTGACTGGAACTGGCAGCAGATCACCAAACCAGGCAAAGGCTGCTCAGCCACAGCTGAATGCCAGTGGCAGATATAATGAACTGCTTATGTAGATGTTAGCGCGTCATTGCCCACACCTCTGAGCTGAGTAAGAATCAGGAAAGTCAAAGTCAAAATTAGCCGAAGTCAGGGATGAGGCCAAACACAAGAGTACGTGTCACAGGGGACAACATATTGACTTCAGAACTCTTGCAAAGACTTTATTCTTTTTCTTATTTTGATTTACAAACATCTGCAGGCAAGGCGATATTTTGTACCACACTAATCATATCTAATACAGACAAAGTTTCAAGGGACTATCTTTAAATGTGTCTCATTCACCAGGCTTTTTTTTCCCCAAGAGAAAAATGCAAACCCGAAGCTCATGTCTTTTCATACCATCTGCTGCATGGTTACCCAAAACTGGTTACCCAGGCTCTGTAGCCATCAAATGAAAAATTCTTAGCATTGTGTTAATTGTTCTTTGATGAGTCTATAATTAGTTGACCAGCTCACTGAAGTCGCAGATAGAGAGGTCATTGAAAAAAAGATGCTAATCATCAGATTCTTACAAAGACACAAAAGAAATCTGGAAAAACATGAAGTGGAAAAACACTCAGCTTGACATTTCACACCCTTCTGCATGTGCCCAGAATAGCACTGCAAAAGATTTGGACTTGTGAACAAACAGACACAACAAATTGACAATTTAACAAACCCACAAACAGCAATCCATAGACGTAGGTTGCTAACTGAAGTAAATCATTGTAACTCCATGGCTGTCAACAAAGCTGTACCAATTTACACCAGCCAAAAACCTGGCCTTTCATTAGCCAGAATTGGAAACTGCCTCTGTCTCTTCCATTTTCTCATTGTTTCACAAAAAACATGAGGCTATTCTTGTCAAAACATGTTATTTGCTAAAACTGTTGTTACCTTGCCTTAAGAGAATGTATTTAGCCAAACACCTAAATCCAAATCCTTTTCAAAAGAAAATATTAGCCTTGTTTTATCTAAATAACTGCACCAGAGGACAAATTTGATTTAACCACTGATGACTTAAAATGAAAGTGATTCAAATAATACAGTTTCAAAATTATCTGAATAATTTCCTGAAATTAAAACCATAAATCTGCACTTCTTTCACTGTGATATCTAGTTGAAAAATCTCAGATTAAGTCAACATCATGAGATGACTTATAGCTTCCAAACTCGACTGTACCAGAAAAAACAATTCTGTATGTCTGAACAAAACCTACAGAGAATTGCAAACATCATAAAAATAGGATGTCTGTACCACTTGTTTGTTTTATTTTTTTAAGCTATGAAAGGTCTGTGCTGGATTTATTTAAGATTTGCAGGGAGGGCTTTGTTGAACAGGAAACATGGTTATCTTACTTGATCTATCTGGTCAGTCCTGTAGAGTATGAAAGCTGATACCATCCTTGGACTTAATTTTCAGACCAGACCGTAGAAAATCCATCAGGTTTCATCTCTAGTTATAAACTTGAACCTCAAAACACATTCAGAGAAAGGATTACCAAAGTTTGCAACGATGTGCAGGGAGCCTGAACTGATTAATGATTTTCAGTGCAAATGAAGGGAAAATACAATAAGACTGATTTTAAATGTTCCAATTGCACAGGTACAGCCACTGAGGATGTCCACACTAGGAGAAGGAGATAATGCCACAAGAGAAAAGAATCCAGGCTACGAGGAGCTTCGTGGTCACACAGAAGGGAGACAGGGAAAGGAACCTCCTCAGCAGGGGGACATCCTAATGTTCCCATGTCCCAGGAGCGAGCACAGGGCATTTCCCAAAACAGCTGTCTGAATGCAGAGAAGCTGCCTAACACATCCGCTCCTCTGCCCATGCAATGATCTGCTGATCCTCCTAAAGCATTTTGTTCATTTCACCCACTGAGGACACAAATCTGCATGGACTGACGTTGGATAACACGTCCACAGTTTTGGCAAGCACAAACTACGCCGGCTTCTGAAAGTAACAGTACTCCAGACCTAAAGTGGTGGGTGGACAAGAGGAGAAAATAGTATGGCAACGTCTATCTCAAACTAGCAAAGCCTAGTGAAGATCAGTAACATCGACAATATTAGACACAGATTTTTAAAATAAGTTGGATTCAGATAGATTTCCTTTGGCATGGTTGTATTTCTCTTGAAATTAGTCCTACAGACATTTTGATAAACAAGTTGAATTTAGTGGTAGGTGACTTACCATCTGTGCATGAATACTTTTCTGCAGTTGTTGACATTTAATAAGTATTTTAATTGCACTGGATTATGTCTACTTCCTCAACACAATCAGCAAACTGATACAACAGATATATTACACATACATTTCATTATAGAACTTTCTGTAGCAGTCTGACTTTCAGTATTAGATTTTGGGTATAAAATGCATCCCACAAAACTGTGAAGGTGTTGCCAATAAGCGTGCATGGACAAGGGATCTAATGAAATCCAAGTGTTTCGCACACTGGATTTGCTACAATAAACAAAGTGAAGCCCAGATAGCCCAGGCCTGCCTTCTTATCTCCTGTGTATCTAAAATATTTCCAATGATCCATGGAGAATTGTGCCTAACTTAGACCGTCACAGACTGGTTCTGAAATGCCGTGCATTTTTAATCTACGCTACATTTAGCACTCAGGGCTGGTTTTAAAAGTTTCTGAACCCTTTAGACACGTTGCCTAGGAGAAATCACCTTATGAGGATGCAGTTATAATTAGATACAGGTGCTCCTTTTAGCATTAACTCCTTTCCCAAGATGTGAACAATCTACACTGTTATGAACATTTTTCTGCTAGCACAGTGTTGGACAAACTGGACACTAGACATTGGTTTGGGGATAATTCTCCATGCATAGAAATGGGGATGGGAGCAGACACTGGTAAAACATGAGTTCTTCCCACCACGGCTCTGTTTATACAAAGGACTATGAGTCTTAGCAACAAAAAAATTATTTTTCTCACAGAAGAATAGAAATTGAAATATAGAAAACAAGTTAGAAAAAAAGGTTTACTACCGTAGACATGCTGATCAGCTTTTCATAGTATGGGCCAGGCTTACAGGCACTGCCTGTTAGAATCTAAAGGAGCAAATGCTGTGCTTAATATGGCACAGAAGGTTTTGGAGATTGGTGATTCAACTCATCTGTCCCAGTGCATTCAGTAAAGGAATTTTTTCCAGTGGTGTATTTTCTTGTCTTATACAATTTATTTCTTTTTACTTTAATTAGTCACAGTCACTGAGTCTCAGGTGATTTTATATGATGGGTGCAACGAAAGGAGTGGCATTTACAATTACCAGTTTCTATTTCAGTTTAATTGCTCTTCCATCAAACTGATCTTCAGAGCTTTCTAACGTTGAAAATAGTATTTATTATCAGCTTTTAATCTTGGGATTTTCCTTAGTGCATTATTCTAAAAGGGACTCCAGCCAGAAAACACGGCACCTCTCCTGGCTGCTGAATGCTTCTTTTCTAACAAAGCAGGAGAGTGGGTGGGAGTCAGTCTAGAGCAATACTTCAAGCACAACTTTTCCTTAGTGTGTAGCATATGCCAACATGCATTTTATTCTCTCTGCTTGAAAGTACCATGTCATAGTCCCTACATCCTGAATAAAAACATCATTAATTAGAGATTGGGAAGTATGATTAAGCGCCTAGTTATTTGGTAGAAGTAATCCAATGGGATATTCAGCATCTCAGCATAATAATCTGTTTCAAATCTTAATTAGATGCTCTTGGCTGTTATTTTTTTTAAACTACTTTGGATGCAACTTTTCTGATGCAGGAGCTTTACAG